GGCTCCTGCACCATGGGCTCTGATGCTGGTGACTCGAGGTGGCACCAACCTTTCTGCTTGTTCCAGCACGCTGAAACGGTGCCACAGTACCCCAAGGAATCATGCAAAGCAGTGAGCAGTAACGTGGCTTTGTTTGCAAAGCCATCCCCACCCTGACTGAGAATTGTTGCCCTCTATCCACCAGCATTTGGTTTTGCTTGTGGTCCTCTAGAAAGGGTCTGGAAGAGTGTTTCTGTCTAGAGCAACTTCCCCTCCCAGCTCTAAGTGTATTCTGACTTACCACATGTGTGCTAGGCACATTCTTCTCAGTATTTTTTCATAGAGGAGCACAGAGGAAAGAAAGAGAAAACCATTTCTATTTCTATTTTTTGTTTTCCCATGTGGAATATGTTTGGAAAATTGTTTACCTGGGGTGATTGTTGATTAGATCTTAGTGAAGATTATTTGAGCCTGATGGCCAATCCAATCCACCTGTGTTTAGACTCTCAAGAGAGGGTCGCCAGTTGTGAATGAGTTAGATATGGTAGTTAGGAAAAGTAGGTATGTAGTTTTAGTATCTCCTTTAAATAGTATATTAATATATTATAGTATAGTTATAATAAGCAACTATATATATAAATAACTATATATAATAAATCATTCAGCCTTCTGAACTAGAGCCAAACATCATCATTTCTTCCCACTGGCTTCACCTGCATTTACAATACCACGTTTCAGAGAGCAGCAGGAGCAGAAGTGTCTGATACAGAGCTCTGCTGTGTTGGAAATTTCAGCCTTGCAGCAACCAAACCCTCCAGATAAGCTGCCCCCCTGGCTCCTGGGTGAAGCTCTGGGGGAGAGAAGATGTCAGCAGTTCCTGAGGGGGGAAGGCTAATATTTCCTCATTTGGGGGGCAGCTTGGCTCCTTCCAGGCTGTTGTGGTTGCTCAGGTTTGGGGGAGAGGAAGGCAAGGTGAAGTCTTTCTACCCAGGCAATGATTTGGGGGCAGGGAAGAGGGGACCAAGTGGCTGGGTAGCTCCTGAGTGACCAAAGACTAGTCCTGTGTTTAGTTACCAGGTGGAAAAGACTCACATCAAAGGCATGTTCTGACTATGTGACTTCATCCCTCTTAGAAAGAAAGAGGAGGAACAGAAACTAATACCCAAGCCTTGGTTGGTCCTGGGGCACACTGAGAGTGTCTTTCTCTCTTAAGTGAAATGATAGGACCATTGCTTGGCTTTGGTATGAGCACAGAGTGAAATAGGAAATTCTCCTATTCAGGGTGAGAGTCCTGGACATCTTTGAAAGCACTTAGCATTCTGTGTAGTGTCAGGATGCTAGTCCTGAGTGCTCTCAAATATTCCCAGAGGTTACAAGCTCAAGCACTCTACTCAAGCAAAAGCTGAGACTTTTAAAGATGGATTCAAAGGAAACGAAACCTTCCCTGGGGTATCCAACACACTCTACACCCCCAGTTCGTGCATTTCCCTCTCCACCCCAGCAGTGTGAAGTGTGAGGGCACAGTGGTGAGAATGGGAGGTGTCAGGGGAATTCTTATTCCAGGGCAATATGGAATATGGGGTTGTGAGGAGGAAAACATTTGCAGAGTGCCTTAAAAGCTGGTGTGGCTCATCTGGCAGGGTGCATTTGCTCTCACAGGTCTGTGCTGGGGCTGGGCTTGGGCCAGCACTGCTCCTGGGCTGAAATCCCACAGAGACAGGTCCCAAAGAGCCCAGAGCCGGGAGGGATTGGGATAACCATAGTGGGAGGGAGGTGGGAGGAGACTTTTGAAAGTGCTGAGAACACTAAAAGTGAAACTTCACTGGCATCACCCACCCAGCTGACCTCAAGTGGCGTGTCCTTATGTCTTGGGATCAAATCTAATGCTTACACAGCCCTGAGATTGCTTCCTTAATGCAACTGCAGCTGCCACTCATTTTTTGCTGGTTTTGGGTGCTTGGAGGTGATATCACCATTATACCAAAAAATTCATTTTTTTGGGGGAGCTTAGGTATATTAATGCATTCTGGAAATACTTTCCAGGGGCCTGTAGTAGGGCAATGGATCAAATCTTCCATGATCCTTGTTAACATTCCACCTCGAATGGAATGTTTTTAATTCTCCTTGTCATGAGGTGCTGCCAGGCTGAGGTCTCAGTCCTCTACCAAACAATATTCCCTTCAGAATCAATGCCAGGTGTAAATAGAAGCAAACCATTTAACCCATTGCCATTTATTTTCAAAAAGCACTGTCATTCTCCAAGTCAATTTGATTTTCTCTTAAAGAGGATGACATTACATCTTTGTCAGTACAGAATGGTGAATCCAATGGTGTTTCATAGAGGAGGTAACACAACAGGTCTTTGGCAACATAGCAGATGACTTAATGCAAGGAGAATTTTACTGATTATTGAAAAATGTTTCTCTCTGCCCAAACAATGACCCTCTAGGTTTAACCTATGTAATCCAGAAATATCAGATAAAATATCAATTTCACCATAAGTATATTTTTACTGGAGTTATTTAACCTTGCAGATGTGGTCAAAAACTTCCCTTTCAAGCAGCACCTTACAGAGCACTCACATTTGCCCTAATCAAAGAAATGGAAGTTGGGACAAGTGCAGGTTTGCTGTCCATTAATGTGGATAGGAAATGTGTATTGCAAAAGTCTCTCTCAATACAAGTACCAGTAACTCAATTTGGAATAACTTGTGGTTCGTGGGATTTGCTTTTAAGCAACTAAGTCCAAATATGTAATACAGCAATAGTGGGAAATGGTTTAGATTAAGCAAATAATGTAAAAATCATTTCTGGTTTTATTTTTATTAAATTTTCTTGTTGTCACAAGCTCAGAGCCTGATGCTGCAAATGGCTGAGAAGCTCCTGGGAATTGCTAAATACTTTGCAGTACCATGTGTAGGAGGAGGCTGAGAAGATTTTAAAGCACTTTGTAGGAAAGATGTTTGTATCTGAGTTGCAGATGAAAAACTGTGCAGCACAAATTGTATCAGAATTACCATCCTGGTCAGTGAAAACCTTTTTTAGAGCATCAGTGTGAATATGCTGCCTCAGACAGGCCCAGTACCCCATCTTATTTTTACAGCTGCAAGCTATTTTCAGTTCAGGGGGTTGTTGAGCCCTGTGTGGTTTGTAGTCAGTACCAGTGGCTGTTCTTCTAAATCTCTCCATTCCCTCTCATGTATGGAAACCCAACTATTCTAGCTGTGTGAGAAACAATCCTGTTTTGGTTTGAAGCAGGTTTCTACTTGCTCCTTTTGATGGACCTCAATCCTGCTTCCAGAAGAGCCTACAGAGAGCCGCTCCCTCCCCTACTCTCCAGAAACCTGGGAGACTGAAGATAGTTCTTCAGTCACAATTTTTACCCCCTGGCCAACGACTGCTCAGTCATTCTTTGTCTGAAAGTTGTCCACACCTTCAGCCATTCTTGTTGCTTTTGAAATTTTCCCCGTTTTTAACTGTGCTGCTTGAGAGCAGGGTAGCAGAACCAGGCTGACTCCTCAGGTGTGTGCAAGCCATGCATTTGGACAGCAGTAAACAGCTGTCCAACATTTCAGTCTCCATTGTAACAATTCCCAGCACAAAGGACACCAGACCTATGTACATTATCTCCAAGAACGACCTCTCAGGAAGTTCTGTTGCTTTTGGCTAATTATGAACATTAGCAGTTTTTAACCCTGTGTTTCAGGTCAGTGGGGAAACAAAATAAAACAGAGATTGACTGCAATAAGAGGATTTTAAAATCTGTTGCCTAAAAGCAAGACTGAGCCAACAAGGCAGGCAACAAGAAAAATAGCAAACACACAGGCTTATTTTTGTCTTAGCCCTAAAAGTCTATTTTTAAATAGTGGAGACTTGCATACTGATGAACATAAACTATCTTCTGATAGAATTTGGTGAGAGTTTGACCCAGAAGAAATCACTGTAAGCATGTAGGATTTCTGTGTGGACGTGTGGACTTGCTCCATATATACAGCTCAGTAGGTCTTGGCTGCAAAGGACTGTTTCAATTCTTAATGAAAGGTGCCTAGAGGTGAAATATTTAACACATCTTTCTTTAAAATCCAACTTCCCTTACTACCACTACAAAAATTGCAAAGGGCAGTGATACTGCTTGTTGCTCCAAGTGTTTTATAGTGAAAGATGAAAAGATAGGCTTTATTTTTAAAGCTGGAAATAGTTTGCAAAAATCACTAACTCTGAACTGAATCTTGGGGTTCTGACTTACTAAGATCAGTGGGAATTTCGTAACTGAAACTTCTATTTATATAGGAAGATTTTATTCAAGTGAGAACTAGGAGAAACCTTCTTGACTCTTTATTTTATCATGGGAGAAAAAGAATTTAAAATTCAAAAGACCCTCTCTACAAAGATTGAGTGATGCTGTAAGCTCTCTGAAAGAGAAATTAATTGTTCTATGGTCTGCCCAGGGGTTTCAATTAGAGCCATCCCCTTCTCTTGATTAATTTTAAATTTTCCTGTTTGTTCCTGGGAGAAATCTTTGAAGAACTCCATCCCTTAGAGTGCACATTTCCCCTTCTGGGAGCTGGAAGTGTTTCTACTCTATCAATGGGAAGCTGCTGCTCAGGAGAAGAAACTTTAAGCATGAGTTGGCTCCAGTGGAAGCTGATAGGAGCTGGTAATCCATGTGCATTACAGTGCTGGCTGATCAATAATAATTCAGGGATGGAGTGGCGTGGCGTCAACTAAGAAATATTTCAGGGCTTGATCAGTTGTGCTTCTTGTCCGTGGGGACTGTAGTGCAATCTTCACTTATAAAGACATGTGATCTGAAAGCCTGAGGCAGAACAATCCTTGTTTTCACAGGAGAAGCTTTTCTTGGCTGCAAAAGCTTTTACATCCTCATCTCTCTTTCTAAAAGCTGTGTCTGCTTCACAAAATTATATATATATATATAAAAAAAAAAAAAGGACAAGCTTAGGATGGCAACAACATCACAGCCTCTGAGAGGTAAAACGACATGTGAAAAAATATTTTGGGCAGTGTTTCCTCATGCCTGCTTCATTCTGTCTCTTGTCATCTATGCTTTTCTTGGGGCTCTCTTGTTTTCCCTCATGGAAGGTACCCGGGAGGTCAGAGTAAGTGAAGAATACAAGACATTTCTGCAGAACCTGATGAACCTCACCAGGGAGTTATCAGGTATGTACTGGAATTTCAAAATGACTTAAGTGTACAGGGAGCTATTCATTCTCTTGCATTTTGAATGAGATTTTTTTGCTTTTGAAGACATTCTGCAAAATACCCCACAAACAGGATTTTCCCTCTGCCTAGCTAACAACTGCTGCTTTCTTCCTTAGCTGTGATTTTTGACTGCAGGCTTTCCCAATCCTTGTGCTCCTGCCTGGAAAGAATTTTCTTGAGTTGCCTGTGTTCTCCCTTTTTGCCCAGGTTCTTAATGAGCAGCTGAGATTCCTGTGGTATTTCCTTCAGCTTGATGGTTGAAAGAAAGTTTCTCTCTCAGAAAGTTTCTCCAGCTGCCTCTTCCCTGCTCTGAGCTTCCCTGCCAGCCTCTGGTGATGGGATGCTCAGAGGCACACAGGTGCAGTTCTGCACCCCAGACCAGTGATGCTGATTGGAGGGGGTAGAGGAGAAAAGCAGGGTTAGAAATCCTCCTGGATTTGTGATGGGGCTTGTACGTGGGCTTGGGGTTTCACTCAGGAAGCTGTGCTGACACAATGATCAGTCTTGGGCAATTAAATAATGTAAATAATGTCCTTTGCAGCCAAGCTCAGGCACAGGGAGGAGGAAGAAGGGTTGCAGGATTCACAGCGGGGCTCTGGGCAGTGACATCCAAGTGGTTCATATTACTTCCCTACTGTTAACCCCACATTTCTTAATGTCTTTGGGTCTAAGGAAGACTAATCTCCTGGGAAGTCCAAAATGAAACAGGACATTTAGGCTGGAAGCTGGTTACTCAATCATCTTGTCCTGCTTCTTTATATTTATGTATATTTGTTCCCTGTACTTTTATTTGCCAAAGCCACTGAACCCACCTGATTTTTTTCAGAGGTGGAGGTGAGGGGCTTGAAAGGAGAGGGTGAGAAGGTGAATATTTTTATCTTTTAAGAGAATATGAACAAATCCTCAGTGGGAGTATATTTCACTGGCTGCTCCCTGAGTGCTGGTCTGCAAACACTCACTGTGCCTCCTGCTGTGACTGTGACAGATAATGTGACGGAAAATGAGAAGTTTAACGCCGAAATCCGTGAGCTTTTCAGCACAGCTGACCCAGTCTGGTTTATCAATCCAAAAGAAAGATGGAATTTCTTTGGGTCTCTCTTTTTTTGCTGCACAGTGTTCACAACTGTGGGTAAGTACAGAGGTAAAGTAACACCCTTCAGAATAAATTCCTATTGCTGCTTTCTCTAATGCATTCTTCCAGAGAATTAAAACCATCAATAGCAAACAAACAAACAAACAAACAAACAAATAAACAAACCCACCCCTTCTAAACCCAAAGCCCAAATCCCCTTGAATTTTTCTCCCTAGTATTTCTGATGACTCTGCAGGTGACTCTGCAAACACAGATTGCAGAGACACAGCTGAGTCACAGAAACAAGTCACAATTGAGTAACTAGTGATGGTACACACTAATTAACTGCATCATTACACATACACTATCATATGTATTTATAGATTATGTTTGCAGAGCTATTGAACTAAAAAGAAATCTCAATTTTTCAGTCAAACCTTATCCTTCCCACTGTTGTATATCCGCTTGGGTAATGATTTCTTCTCTGGAAAAGGTAATTCCCAATGCATATATTGTTTTTTTAATTGCTTCTCAGTTACTTATGTCTAATTAATCTGTGTTAATTTGTGGTTCTGTAATTAACCACCGTGTTCACATTTCTCTGGGTTAACAGCACATGATAGTGTTTAAGTCACACCTTTGAAATCTTTGTCTGACTTCATATTTCAAAGGAGGACCTAGATCAAATAGAAACATCTGCTCTGTTTTTGGCTCCCTCTGCATTGCTAAATACAACTCCTCATGCTCGTTCCCAAAGCTACTTTTATCCCTTTGTTAATCTTTCTCAAATGCTGGCATGTACAGGCACTGTCTATCCAAATTTTCATAATCAAAGCTGAATGGGAAATATTCCCACAGCATTGTATCAAATTGCAAAGACATTTCTCCACTGCAGGAGGATATGCTCAAGATCCCAGCATGGGGATGAATCCTACTGTAAAAGAAAAACTGAACTTAAAAAAGAGCTTATCCTACACAAGGAACAGTGTGAGAGCTGATGTACTCACCCAGAGCTCCTGTGTGCTGTGCCACTGCTCAAACCTCACACTCTCAACTCTTGGGTGACTTTTCAAACTCAGCTTCTTGCAGTTTAAAGTCTGCATGGCCAGAGACACACTGGGGATGTGACCAAAATCCTCAGCCCTGTGAATATTTCCTGTAACAAACACAACAGTCAAGAACTTTTGAAAAGGGATATTTTATCAGAAAGCTTTGACATCAGCAAACTGATGAAAGGGCATAGTGTTGGAAATGTCTTCCTTGGGTATATTTACCCACCTCCATTAGCATGGGACTTGACAAATGTACCCATACACACCAACCTAACATATTTATTTCTAAACTGCCAGCACTTTTTACCTTCATAGCACTGAATATTAAAGCTTCTTCCTCAGTTTTGACCTGAGTTTTGGGATCAGTAGAAAGCCTGGAATATTTGCTGCTAATAGATGGAATAGGTGGCTATTTCCATTGCAGTGGTTTATTTGCAGTATCAGGAACTGATAAATCATCTTGGGATAGAATAAAATTATATACCTTGAATTTTCTGGGAGAATTGAGGCATCTAGTCTGAAGTTTGAGGGTCTGAACTGCCATCTCTTCACTGCCTGGTGAGAATACATAGTGGCTCAGCTAGGATAGATTTCTGGATAGCTAAATTTAAGCTCAGGGTAAGTTTTAAGCCTGGAAAATACACAAGGTATTTTTAATACACTGAAAACAATTTAAAAAAGAATAAATAAGATCACTCTATGCAATAATGATAATAATCTTCCCCAAGTGCTTTGACAGTAAAGATTAGCATTCCCAGCTAGCCTGTGGGGAAGAGAGTGACCAAGAATAAATGGTGTTTCAGTGCCTCACAGCAGAGCAGGGACTGAGGCTGGGTTCAGAACAAAGGCTGTGGCAGCCACAAGTGAGAACATGCATGGATGAAGAAAATGAGGGAAACCATACCTTAGCATATGAACTAATAATCTGACAGGCTAAGTACTTGGTCTAGAAGCTCATCCTGGAAAAAGCAGAGTTTTTGAAGGGAGAGAAGGAATACTCAATGTCTTCTGAAGGATGAAGAAAAAAATCGTTGTTAAAATTGAATACAGTTACTATATTATCAATGTTTTCTCCCACTACAATAGAAAAGCACTGATTTACAACTTGAGTTTCATATCCAATATGTTAGAGGAAGGAAATATAAATACCCAAATTTGGTTTAGGGAAAGGGCATATCTTCGGCTACCATTTTATATATCACATCTCTCTCTTTCTCTTCTCTTCCCCTTCTTGCTCTTGTTCAAGGTTATGGTAATACCTATCCTGTGACACGGAGTGGGAAGTATCTCTGTATGTTGTATGCTTTATTTGGGATCCCTCTGATGTTCTTGGTCCTGACAGACATGGGAGACATCCTTGCAACTGTCTTATCCAAATCCTACAACAAGTTCAGGAAATTGCAGTCAAAAATTCTTGCCTCTAAACTCTGTTCTGGATCCACATGTAGCAAAAGGAATGAACTGAAATCCAGGGCACAGTCTAAAATAGTCATCAACGAGCCCCTGACAATTATGGAACTGCTGAGAAGTCAGTCAGGTATGAAACCAGTCAAATATTGCAACGTGGAACTTTTTGAAATGCTAATTGCCAGGGAGAATGAGAACACACAACCAGCAAGAAATAAAAGCATGGAGAGATGGAGTTCATGTCCTGAACTAGCCAGGGAAAAGACGGTGTCCAGAGTTATCAAGAATTTTGACAAAATAGGAAAGGAGTTAGAAAAATTAGATGTGCCCATTGTATTGATGGTGTTTGTTATCTTTGTGTACATCTCCTGTGCAGCTGCTATTCTTCCAAACTGGGAAAAAAGTATGGATTTTCAGGAAGCCTTTTATTTCTGCTTTATCACTTTGACCACTATTGGATTCGGAGATACAAAGCTAGAACATCCCAGGTTTTTCTTGTTTTTGTCCCTCTACATTATAATTGGCATGGAAATCGTCTTCATTGCTTTTAAGCTGGGCCAAGACCGTTTAATTGTCCTGTATAAAAAGGTGATTTCATTTTGTGCAGAGAAAAATATGCCATCAAAGAAGATATATCCAAAATAAGAGCAGTCATTTCTCCTTCACTAGTCAGCACTGGCCACTGCAATGAGATGAAATTGTTTCTGTGCATTTCTGCCTTGGGCTGGCAGATGCCATATTTTAATCTGATTTTCTCTGAGAAATGACTGTGAAATGGCTGAACACCTCTGGAAGCACTTGGTGAAGGCATCTCCAGGGAGTACTTTCCAAAGAGGTCCCTTCTCCTAAATAATCACAGATGCTGCATGATGAAGAAGCTGAAGGCTCTCCTTGCCAGTTCTCCCTGACATATTTTGCAAAGCTCTGACTTTCTGCAGCTTTTCTGTCCCCCCTGCCACTGCAAGCCAATTCAGGAGTTTTGTTTTCAGTTCTTGTCCAAGCAAGGCCCAGGTCTCCTGTCCTGCACCTTCTCTGCAGCCCTGGCCAGCGTGTATATAATATAATAATTAGATGCAATTAAGCATTGATGATATGCAAGATATATAATGACTGATGGTAAATAGAAAAGTGTTTTATACAAATAAAAATAAAAACTACAGAAGCTGGAAGAAACTTCAGTTAATTCTGTCATGTTTGCTGTGATTTTGGCCTTACGTAGAAAGTCCCTCCATTCATATCACTATTCTCATATAACTTAATTTTGTGTCTTCAAATTAAAATCAGTGTAGAGTTTTGGTACCCTGTCAAAGTTTTCAGAAGTCAATGAAAGGACTTGCATGATATCAAAGGCTTTGGATCAGATAATTGCACTTCCTGCCCCTCAAGGTTTTCTTTGTGATATTCTAAACCTGTCAACATTTTTAATAACTGGTTTGTATGTAATTTAATTTGTTTCTGTCATATCAGTGGGATCTCATTTATGGAGAGCAGTTAATCCTGAATTTATGCCCTATATATTTCTCACTGGCATGGTACCTTTACACCTTCCCATTTACTTTATGGATTTAGGGAATTTTGGCTGGATTTACAATAGAGATTCTGCACCAAATCATTCTAGTTATGGCCAAGGGATGGCAGTAAACAGCTTTCTTTCCTAAAGAATCTGTCAGTTAAGGGAGATAATAATTCTTTTGTAGAAGGAGGAGGAACAAATCACATAACCATTACCCTCTATAAATCAATAATGCACCTGACTGTTGAATATTGTGCACAGCTCTGGTCCTTCACCTCCCAAAGGATGTGTAAATTTGGAAAAAGAGTCTATAGGTCAGGGTAAAGGATGAACAAAGGTAGGGAACAACTTCCATACAGGACATGAGCCGTGGCTCTCTAGTCTGGAAAGAGGTGAGAGGCTGATGGAGAGATGTGCAACATTACAGGGGCTCAGAGAAGGGAAACAAGGAATGATGGAATGATTTTCAAATACTCTCATTATGAGAGCTGGGACTGACAAATGAATCCCACATGTGACAGGCTTAATAAAAGAAAGAGAAAGAAGAGAAAATGGTGCTTCACACAAGATATAATTAAGCTGTAGCTATTCCTTGTCATGGGAGGATGTGGCAAGTAAAAGTTCCCATTAGATCAATGAGAGACGGGACAAAACCATGAAAAAAAAACATTAAAAACAATTATAAAAGATCCAAAGATAACAATTCTGGCTCAATAACCACTGAGTTCTAAACTGGGAGATGAGGAGAACCCTCTCTACAGATTTTGCTGTCCTTGTTTGCTTCCTTTGCAATCTGTTATCCCTCAGAGACAGAAAGTATTCTGTCCATCCTGTTCTGGCCTGATTTCCATGCCTGTAATGCATAGAAACATATTGCTATAGAGCTAAAAAGCCACTCAGCAAATCTAATACCCGAATAGATACTTAATTTCATATTTGTGTCCCAGGTAGACAAACCAGTCCGGTCTGACTGTGCAAAATATATCACTAAAAATTGTGATTTAGGCAACACAACACAACCAGTCTTCAGTAAAAGTCATGTGGTCATTTGGCTTGTGTCATGAACCTAAAGGAGGGTGGAGAGCTGGACACACATTGCATTGTCAGGTATAAAAATGTATTTATGTCTTTTGTTCAGGTGCACTGAAACAGTGATCCCACACAAGAAGGAATATGTGGGCCTGATTCTCTCACTCTCAGAGTTGGGAGCCACTTTCCAGATGGCAGAGCAGTGTGCAGCAGCCCTGGGCTGACAGTGACAGCAGCACTTCACAGTGCAGAGCAGGATCTGAATGTAAATACAGTAAATATAGTCACAGAGCTAATGAAAATGAAACAAAGGAGTGAGTAATGGCTCCCTTAGTGCATAAATATTTATGATTTGACTGTTCTTATCATGGATTAAATCCTGGAAGAATTCACAGTCTCTGCCCACAGAAGTTTTTATTCAACGTAATTGACATGGAGATCAGCTTTGTTTGCTTCAAAGCAGTACAAAATATTGCTTTTCATAAATTTTCCCCATCACGATCTGCATGAGCTGGTGGATTAGATGTGAGGGGCTTCACTGAAGAACTCTTCTATCAGGAAAGACGTGACTGATGGGGAAAGAGCTGCTTGATGTGTAACCCACAGCGGATATGAGTTATTACAGCCCCAGCTGGAGAGCTTTACAGATCAAATGCACTTGACGCTGAAGGATGCTGGATCAATCACCCTTGATTGGGCCAAGATGGAAGCTGTCACGAGCACTTAGGAGCAGAGGGCAGGGTATCCCTGGTGTGGGAATCACAGGGAAACCATGGGAATGAGTGAAAGGAGTGAAAAATAATCTTTGGGCAGAAGGGTCGGAATGAGAAAATGACAGCAGCGGTGGAGGGAAAAGCCATTTTCTGTGTAGACATAAATATGGTGAAGAGATGCTTGAGACTGAAAATACAGTGGGGGCTGGTTCCTCTGGCTTGGGAAGGTTTGTGCAGCTTGCTTGGAGAGCCCTTCTTAAACCAGCACAGTGGTTGTGGGTGATGGGCTCCAGCACAGGTCTCACCAGCAGCAGCCACAGCAGGGCAGAATGTCTGTGCAAGGAATCCTCCTGAGAGATAAAACAATGTCAGAAAGAAGATAGAGGGTCTGGACTGAAAAGCCATTAATGAAACCATCAGAAACATTCCTCTTATGCTCTGCTTTGTCATTCAAAGAATGACATTTTGTTCACGAGCACCTTTTGCACGAGCAGTCTGAGGACTCAGGAAATTCTTAATGGGATGTAGGACTTGTCATCTGTGTGCCAGGAGTTCAGATGTAGTCCAGATTTTAGTGGGCTCCATGTTAATAACATCTGATAACACTTGGATGGCTTTTATGCTTTTTCAACTTGTTCCAGGTGGAGATGCACCCACATCATAAAAGCACTGCCATATAATGGATGCTAATTGCATGTGGGGTGGCAGGCTCGGCAGAGGTGAAGGCTGGGACTCCAGCTGGGAGCAGTCCCTGCACTCCTCTTGGCTTCTAGGTTCCCAGCATACCTTGTGATCCTAATTTCCAGACCACAGGGAGCATCAAATGTAGCATCTGTGACTGTTGCATGCAATGGGAGTGTTTTGTGAACCCAGAAGGATGGGTCTTATCATTTAACCTGGCTTCCATAAATTAAACACTCTTTGAAAGTTCATTATTTTTATATATAAACAACAAAAATTTTTTTTGTTGTAGTTGTTATTACTACTCCTAAGCAACTCCACAGGCTGTATTCAGCATGTTCTGCCAGGACATGCTATATTCTAAGACCAACATAAGTATTTAGCTGGGCTATCTTTCCATTTCTTCCTCACCTTATGCACCACATATAAGTAGAAAAAATATTTTTCAAGCCATGCAACACAACAGCCTGCATTTACACACAGAGCAAGGGAGATGAGGGTGCTTAGGATAAATTTCAATTGTCTCTGTTAAAGTACACAGGCACAGATAGCAGCAAAAACACAAGGAATTTTCTCCATCACTCATACAGCAAATCATAGCTACGTGAAGACAGCAGATCTCTCATATATGAAGCCAATATTTTTAGGATAGCAGTCTGAGGTCGAAGTGCAAACCTTCATGAGCAATGAAGTCCATGAATGTACTGCTTGTACGTGCCAATAACTGATTGTTTGCATGTGGTTTTCATTAGAAAGTTTTAGGAAGTGCTTGAACAAATGTTAGTTGGTTTGTGTGCCTATGGGTTTGCATGTGAATCTGAGCTTTTTTTTTTTTTGAGTTAAAATTCTGTCTCGGAGTAGACAAAACGTAGTTCTTTTGAGGTTAGTTCAGGCTTTTTCAAACTGATGAAGCTCTCTGTCTGGCTGGAGACAGAATCCTCCCAACACCGCTCTTGTGCATAAAACTTTATTATGTCTGTGCATTTTCAGGATGCACCAAAGTCCAGAGGAAAAGGAAAGCAATGGGCAAGAAGGGAAAGGAAAGCAAGAAGAAAAGAGTAGAAATTCGACAGTGAAAAATGAATTTCTATGTTAAGCATCTACTGATGAGGAATCAGGGTAACAATGCTAACATTGATTCATTACATTATCTGCTTCCACAAATTCCTGTGTGAACAGGAAAACGGAGTGAGAGAACACCACAAAATCAGCAGATAAAATTGCCAATGTTCTGGATGTGCTGCTGGAAGAAGGCTCCTTGATCTGCTGTGCTGTCATCACGCTCTGTGATCTGTGCCCCGTGGGGAGAGCCACCCGTGTGCTGCCCTCTGTCACACGTGGCAAAGATCTGAGAAACAGTGCCACAGCTGGAGCCTGGGGTATGATTCTGGGTACAAGACACTCACTTGCTAATGTTTTCCCCACTTTATACTTCTCTTGTGGAAAGAAATAGGAGATGTTGCTGCCAAAGGAATTTGGGAGTTTGCGGAATTCAGTTATGTATAAAACCTTCTGCTCATTAGCTTGATAATGCAGATGATTTTAGGCTGTTTATCTCTCAAACAACCATGCAAACTCTCAGGAGAGCACTGAGTGCCTGGATTTCACTGATGCCTAGTGGAATGTGTTCCAAATACACTTGCCAGACAAAAGTTGTAAGTGTTTTCAAAGCAAATCTGAGCGTAGGGTGGTATTTTTGGCTGAACCAC